TTTTTTTTTTGGTTGTAGTTGTCATTGTTGTTTGGCAGGCCTGGGCCAGATTCAAACCCACCAGCTCCGGTGTATGTGGCTGGAGCCCCAGACGCTGAGCTACATAATAAGCACCAAGCCTTATTATTATTATTTTTTTGAGACAGTCTCACTGTGTCACCCTGGGTAGAGTGCCATGGCATCATCATAGCTCACAGCAACCTCAGTCTCTTGGGCTGAAGCGATCCTCTTGCCTCAGCCTCCCAAGTAGCTGGGACTATAGGTGCCTGTCACAAGGGCCAGCTGGTTTTTCTATTTTTAGTAGAGATGAGGTCTTACTCTTGCTCAGGCTGGTCTTGAACTCTTGATCTCAGGCAATCCACCTTCCTCGGCCTCCCAGAGTGCTAGGATTACAGGCAGGAACCACCACGTCCCACCAGCACAGAGCCTTAAACGTGGTGCCCACAATTGCCCAATGTCCTGCAGAGGTCACTGAGTGGCCAGCAGGTGATGGGGAGCAGCTGGTGCTTGATGCCTGGACCTCTAACTCCTGCTGTGCAGCTGCAGGCAGTCCCCTTGTGTGTAAGGTGGAGATGTGAAGAACTGTGCCCACACCCAGACGGGACCACTCAACACAGGCCAGTCCTTCTTGGAAGTAAGTGCAGATATGGCCAAGCCAGTGTGTTGGCTGTCTTATGTCTCATGGGACCTGCGTCTGTCTGTGCTTGGCTTTTTTTTTGCTGGGGGCTGGGTTTGAACCTGCCACCTCCGGTATATGGGGCCGGTACCCTACCACTTTGAGCCACAGGTGTCACCCTGTGCTTGGTTTTTATCTAGCAGTTCTCACCCACAACTGCAGGCTGCAGTTATCCTCCTCAAATTACCGTTAATGCCCCTGATTGGTCATCTCTAATTTCCAGATCTAAATAATGTGAGAGATTTTCAGGTCTTCACATGCTGTTGTCTGGGGGGACAGGGTAAATATGGAATCTGATTTTCTGCTCCTCTGGGAGGCTTGAATGACCTATTTGGGCATAAAGCTGGAGGTCAGAGGAGAGCTGTGGAGTGATACCCAGTAATGTCTGCCAGGTGTCTGACCAGGGAGGCAGGGATTTGGGGGTCAGTCAGATGTCATCTCACTGAGGAATATGTTACTTTATTCCAGAGAATCCACTGAAGTTTAAGTGAGGCCTCCCCACCTTGGCATTCTCATTATTAGCTGAAAGGAAAAAGTACATCTTTGAATGCTTAGGGCTGTTCTTTTAGGGAAAGTCAAGAGATATTTTTAGGCTTGAGAGAACAAAATGCAAACTCTATCCAGGGGTCCAGAAGTGAGGCCCACTGTAGACTGGACCCATTTCCTCCCTTTCTTCACATTCGATGTATAAATGATGAAATTCAGAACATATGTCAAGCAGACAGTTGTCCCAGATGTTCACTCTTACTTTCCTTATTGACAACTCAATAAGGAAAAGACAAAATACTAAATACTACAATGTATAAAGGACACCACAAAATGAAAGATCTCAAACCTTCAAAAGCAGCTTTGCTCCTCTGTAAAATGAGCTGGTGCCTTTCACAGTCTCTCCCAGCTGGGATTCCGATGTTTCAGTCCCTACTCTGGGGTCCTAATCCTAGTGTCCATGGAATTTGCGGGAGGGCTGAGAATTTTGCTGGGAAATAATTATATTGTGTTTCCTACTGGTCTCTAAGTGGATGTCAGCATTTCTCTCAGCTGTGCACACAGGTGACAAACCACCAGTACCTGTGCCTTTGTCACCAATGGCCATCAGGTGTCTCACGTCCTGTGAGAGCCGCTACAGAGCTCAGAGTGTTGTTCATGCTTACCGCTAATTCCAAATTATGATAGTTATCAGACGTAGATATTGATATTTAAAGCCCCAATAAAGAAGCACGTTGCTATTATATCACCATTTAAAAATATTATATTTTGATATAACTGATTTCTTTTGGATTCCTGAGTAATTAGGTTATTCATTTAAAAGCATAGTGCTCATAAGGGGCTCACAGTTCTCAACAGAGTGAGGGGTGGGTGGGTGGTGGTGTCTGTGGCACACAGACTTTAAGGACTCCTGGCCAGATGGAAAGTATTTCTCGAACACGAGAATCCCCATCTCCAGAGGCCGCTTCTGGGAGAGAAGAGAACCCAGCTTTACTTCCAGCAGAGTCCTTCACATCAAGTTGTAGAAACATCTTTGGGCCCCAGACAAGGAGAGAAAACAGATCTCTCCTCATCACACACAAAGGTGCACAGGCTTGGACCCGTTCTTGTTGTCACTTGTCTAGAATGAATTACTGGTTTTCAAGGATGAATGGATGCTGGGATTGCAGGCTTGCTGAGCCTTGCTTTAAGGGGGCTTTCAGAAAACAGATCCTGCTTTCTCATTCTTGAACAGAGTCTTTCCTCCCTTGCACACACCCACACACAGACACACATGCA